GCTCCTGAGGCAACTAAAGAAAGATGCCTACTGTGAAAGCAAGACCTATGTGTGGGGGGGGGGGGGCTAGCAGGAGCCAGCTATGGGATCCTCCTACTTTTGCCAGCCATCCCTTCTGTATAAAGGAATTGTCCTGCAAAAGGACCAGTGTCACAGTCTCTGCTTTCCATTTTTACCTAATATCTTAGAGCTCATATTATGCCAAGTTCTAACGGTGGTATGTGCTGAGCCTGTAATAATGCATGCCCACAGGTTTTAAATGGATTTGTTCCCCACAGTGCTGAAGCCCAAACCCCGGAAGGAGCTGGGTGTCTTCAGGGATGGGTGCTGATTACAACTTCATGGTGACAATCTTCTAATTCCCAAATTAACTTTGCAGGTTAAACAGTCAATTTGAAGAAGCCCTGAGGTATCTAATTTCTTGACATCATTACACTGTCTATGTAACTCTTTCCCTGAAGGAATGGTCCTCTTTATTGAGTTGTTTGTTTTACAAGGTTTATTAGTGCTGTTTCATCTTGGTGGCCACAATACCCAGCAGAAACAACTTACGGAAGGTGGAGTTTCTTTTGACTTGTGGTTTCAGAGACTTTAGTTCATTATGGAGGAGAAGGTATGGTCCCAGTCTGTGGTGTTAGGAGTGTGTGGCATGGCGGAGGTTCCTCATATCACGATATTTCGGGGGGGGGGGGTGGAGATAACCTTCAAAGGCCCGTGACTGGCCACCTATTTTTACATAGGTCTTTCTCCTAAACAACCCACAGCTTCTTAAACACAGAGCCACCTCCAGAGGAAAGCATTAAATCAAGTGGAGGACATTTTAAATTCAAACTTGTGCAAAACCCACAGCAATTAAAGAGAATGGGAAATCATTTATTCTGGTGTCATTTTGAGTGAGCTAGACCAGCAACACAAATTTAGGTCCTCCCAAATTCCATGCCCCAATGTGGAAGCAGTTTCATAGTTGTACAGATGAAAGAAAGTCATAAATCAAGGTAAGTTTAAAATACACTGGTGGGTACATCAGAGAGGTCATTACATCAAGATGGGAGAAATTTTTCTAGAGGCCCTAAATGCTATCTGATGATGTTCTTAACTTCTGGGTTGGTGGAAGCTAGCGGTCTGCTAAGTCAGTAGATTCCAAAAGTTTTTTTCTACTTATTAGTCATGGGATGTTAGGTCAGACACAGAGGTGGGTGGGCAAGGAATAATTGTTCTGGAGGTCTAGAAGTTAGCCCCAAATAAGGTAATCAGTCTCTGGACCTGCAACATTCCAACTTCCCCAATAGTCCTGCTGTTCTAACAAGCCAATGGTCACAGACACAGCTTCTTTTTAGGAGTTCCTTGTTCTCAAAACTATTACTCAAGGTCACCACTTCATTCCAGGAAATGCTGCTAAGAAATACTAGAAGATGGTCTTTTTCTTCAGACCCTTATTAGAAAAGTCTTTTTAAAATGCCAATAAATTGTGTACTGGAGGCAGGTGGATGAGGGGACCTTGATCCCAGCTACTCTAGCTCAAGTTCTGAGTTCCATGAGGAAGACATCCTGATGCCTATCTCTGGCCTGCAGAGATGCCTGTGCATACGTGCGTGCACACGTACGCGCACACACACACACACACACACACACACACACACACACACAATGCCAAAATACAAGATCACCGGTCGGGGACGAGAGGTTTGTGGCTTATGTCCATTTCCCTTGAGCTAGCCTCTCCAGCAATATTGTTCATGAAAACAAACTCTTATAAGAAATGTCAGCTTCAACTGTCTGAAAATGAGCTGCTGGGGTGAAGCGGCGTATTAGCTAAAGGTCTTCATGCATTTTGAGGATGGGATGAGAAAACATTGGAGCCTGTTTCTTTCACGTCAGTCACTTGGTTCCATTTGTTATGGACACAGCCATGCAGAAAGGTGGATGGGGTACAATCCACACAGCTGTGACAGATGATTGACGGCCACTGTCCTAACTAGCTCTCCCCAGTTGTCTGGCTCACAACTGAAGGAGAAACTTCAAGATGGAGCCGCTTCCTGTAGCTCCCTTTCCCTGAGTTTTCATCTCAATCCTTCATGAGGAGTCCCTCTGTAGTCTGTCCTCCAGAACCAAGAGGGATACTTGGACTGACCATGTCACCTAAGAAGGGATAACTCAGGAAAAGCAGCTGATTTCCACTTGGTTCACCACAGTATCTTCTTGTTCATGAAGGTTGGGGTTGGGGCATCTGGGCACAGAGGAGAGAAAGCAGCAGCTCTAGGACTCAAGCTCCCGTCTGTCTTTGTTATCTGATAGCAATAAGTAGCTGTGAGGGGGAATTATCTGACATGAAGGAAAGCTAGAGACCAGGAGTTTAGGACTTCGATTTTCATATCCAAGGCCCAAGCTTGAATAAAAAAGATATAACTAACAGCTGGCCCCAGAGATGAGAGGGTAGGTGTCCTGGGTTTTTGTGGCTTCTCAGGTAAGTGTTCCAAGGACAAATGGACCCAGGTGGAAGGTCTCCTGACTTCCTTCTGTGTAACGATAACTCTTTCCTCCAGCCGCCTAAGTTTTGCCGCCACATTAGGGCCCCAAAATAACACACAGAGATTAATATTAGTTACAATGCTGCTGGCCAATGACTAGGATTTCTTATTTGCTAGCTCTGTCTTAAGAATCAACCATAACCATTAATCTACATATTTTATAAAGACTTATCTTATTGAGGACATCAGCGGCATGTGTCCTCTTGCCAGGATCACATGATGACTCTCCTTTACTACATTTCCCAGAATCCTCCTTCTCTCCTAATCCTGCCTATCTTGCTTCCTGATTGGCCAACAGTGCTTTATTTATCAACCAATAAGACAAACATATACACAGAAGGACTTCCCCCATCACTTTTGTCTGATTTGTCCAGTGCCATTTCCTCGGGACTGAAGAGCTACACACTCCACTTGAGGTATACTGACACCAACCCTCAACCTGACATGTTGGCTCATACATGATTTATGGGCTATACCTGAAGATGTGCAAAAGAGCTGGGAGGGGATCTCATCCCCTCCTTGTGTTTTTAAGACAGGATCACATGCAGCCCAGCCTGGCCTCAAAATCACTTTATATCAGAGGCTGACCTTGAACTCTTGGTCCTCTAGCCTGCCCCTCCCAAGTGTGTGCATACTTGGTGTGCACCATCACACTTAGTTCTGCCCCTCCATTATGAAAAGGGATCTCAAGGTTCCTAGAAAAGATGGGGTCGCCTAGAACCTTCCATAGTGAACAGAAGCAAGAATCCCCTTCCAGGAACTCATGGAGTACCCAACCCCCTCAGTTGCTTCTGTGTATGAAACACACACAGGTTTAGGGCTAAAGGGTTTCTTCTGTACCAGTTCATTTCAAGAATGGTTAAGGAGTCAACCACAGGAGAGACTTCACCATTGTCACCAAAAGCAGCACACTGCAAACAATGATACAGTGACTTACAGATGCACTTGGATGGAAGCCAAGTCTCTTTGCCAGACTCTAAAATATCCTAACCTTTCTGGATTGTTAAAATAAAGATGTTTCCCCTGCCCAACCCCCAACTATTGCCTCATCAGTGAGCTGTCTTACAAAGTGCTGTTGAGCAGAATTATATCACACCTATCCACACATTTAACACCAGTAGCAATATTTCCTTCTCCACACAGGGCAGGAAGAAGGAGTGTCCTTAGCTATTGACTAATTCACACAAAATTACCAAGACTCAGATCAATTCAATAGTGGATTTATTTGTTGTTGAACCCAATACAATTCTGGGTATATGGGGGAGGGGCTATACACCCCAGTTAAATGCACAAGCAGATGGCCTAATTTAGCTCCTGCACTTACTGGCTAAGCTCCAGCTTCCTCTTGAAGTTACTATGGGGACTAATGAGGTTACAGTAGCCTCTTCTGGTGACAGTTTGGCTTTCTGCACTTAACTTAAGAGCTGGTTCATCAGTCTATGCAAGGCTGCTGTCTGTGTGTTTGCTATAGGACCTTGAAGCTGGCTAGGCAGGAAGTCTGAGCTAGAATTCAAATTTAGTTACTCATTATCAACAAAGGTCCCCAAACACCAGATAGAAAGTTCCAGAAATAAAGATCCCTAAGTTCCTAATAACATTTATTGTATCCAGTATTCTTGTTCTATTCTAAAATTAATTATTGTTTCTCTCCCTTGTGCCTTATTTATCTGTGAAGCTTTACCATAAGTCTATGAGTACAGGGAGAAATACAGGCTACAGACAACTCGACGCTATCCATGGTCTCAGCCATGCATTGTGAGCATAATATATGAAAAGCTGTGGACGGACCGATCACTTTTTACAAGCTCTCCTTTTATTCTCAAGGAATGCAGCAGTACCACCAACACAGTGGGAAAGATGTGACAGACACCTGCTCCCACTCTTTCCCTTCTGGGAACTTCTGCCCTCTTCAGGAAAACTTCCTATGAGTTGGGTTGGGGCCTCCCACCCTTCATTTCTTCAGCTACAAACATGGGAGTATATCTTTACCTTCGTTATATCTCAACCATGCTGATGGTACAGGAAAGAATATGTGATTCAAGCTGTCTCCCCTGAGTCCTCCCGGGGACTTTTCTTCTGGCTGTAGCTATCACCAAAGCTTCTTCTAATGCTATTCCCAGAAGGCATAAATTTTATGGTCATTGTGGCCACTGTTCACTGGTATTTGGGAAGGCTCCCTCAGAGAAGAAGGGCCTGTAGGTGTAGAGGTGTGTGTGTGTGTGTGTGTGTGTGTGTGTGTGTGTGTGTGTGTGTAAAATCAGTGATTGACTGTATGTATGGACTACCCCCTCTGTAACTTAAGAGCTGGTTCATCAGTCTATGCAAGGCTGCTATCTATGTGTTTGCTCTAGGACCTTGAAGCTGGCTAGGCAGGAAGTCTGAGCTAGAATTCAAAGACTGGGGAGAACATTTGGCATTTCAAATGAGCTGGAAGAGGGGATGGCATCCTTTATCATGGAGCTGAACACATACCTGATCCAGGAAGATAGAGGGTACAAGTGGGTTCAGGAGGTGCAGATGCCATGGGTTAAATCCTCCAGGGTGAGCATCAGCCACCACCATGCCGCATGCTCAGCCCAGGCCTCCCAAGCGTGAGAAGAAACACTTCACTCTCATTGTCAGCTTCCATACAAAGCCAGGTGATGGTCGTGCACGCCTTTAATCCCAGCACAGGACACAAAGGCAGGTGGATCTCTTCGAGTTTGAGACCAGCCTGGTCTACAGATTGAGTTCCAGGACAGCCAGGGCTCTTAAACAAAGAAACCCTGTCTCAAAAAAGAAAAAAAAAATAATCATACAAAAATGTGTTTGTGGCCCAGATCATCTGGGACCTACACTGATATGTGAATTCTGGGAAATGTGTCCCTGCTTAATGATTTGGACACTGTGAACCCTGTACATTGGCTTTATGAAGAGAACGTGCTGAAGACAAAAGGGCACCAGTCCGGGCCCAGCCAACTCTGAAGCTCTAACGGTCCCTTGAATGTCATTGAGCCATTGAGTGTACAGTGGCATTAATCAGAGTTCTGTCTTTTCAAATCATGCAGCCTAACCAACTGGGAGCTACTTTCATAGCCATTGTCATTTAGCTAACTAGTGATTCCTTCAAAAGCCATCATTTTGCTAAGGCAATAGGAACAAAGTGAGATATAGGGATCGATTAGTCCATAACATTTTCAGTTTTGGTGAATGACAGTTTGCTAAACATGGGCAAAAAGCTACAAAACCCTATGCTCAACACACCAATAAGGTTTGTCATTACCGTCAAATGGCAGGTATAGGCTTTATAGTAGTTTAGCTGATACTGCAATGCAGCCTGAAAAGCCAGGCAGATACCCAGACAAGACCTGCTGGCCGAATGGTCTGAGTTGGACCCCTAAGCTTCAATTTTACATCACTTGGCCAGTGAACATTTGTTCAATCCACCATTTTAAGAGGGTCCAGCCTCCTCACCATAATTTCAAGAGGTTGAAAGGCAAATGTAAATTATTTTATGGAGTGAAAGAACATATTTTCTCAGTAGCTGGAATCCTGGCACACACACTACCCCCCCCCCCCCCCCCCCCCCGTTTCATCTTTTCCCAGGTCATCTCTGCCCATGGTAGAGGCTGTGTGAAGACTCTGAATGCTCTTTTGAAGAACATGGAGTGGTCTGAAGGAGATTTCCCCCAGGATCTTGTCCAGCCAGGCACAGAGCTCTCATATTCACACCAATTGGTCAAAATTCCAATGAACACTGGGGAAGCCTGACTTTCTTTCCTTAAATTATTTGTGGATCTCATCCTATTCTCAACAACACTGTGATGCTTATGAGTAGCTATTATTAAGTATTTTCCAAATTACTGAATTGTCCCAGTCACAGACTCCCAGTTGGTGTCACCAGTGTGGACATAGAGTGCCACCATTTGGAACATGCTTTTAAAAATGAGTTCTGAGAACAATGCTTTTCTTCTCCCTGTTCCAGAAGCCTGTTACATATCAGTCAGTGTGCTCTTGTATATGGGACACAGACATGGGCAGTGTGTGTGTGTATGTGTGTGTGCTAGCATGCACACATGCATAAGTGCTAGCATGTGTGCATGTGCCAGTGTGCATGTGTGCCTGTGTACAAGCTCACATGGAGGCCAGTGGAGTGTGTTATCTGTCTTCCTCCGTTGCTCTCCACTTACTGTTTCACTGAATTCAAGGCTTTCCATTTCAGCTAAGCTGGCTAGGATGCTCCTGTTTCCATATTCCTTTTCCACCACTGCTAGAGTCACAGTTCCTCTCTTGTGACAGGCTTTTATATGGGTACTGGGGATCTGAACTTAGGACTTCTTGTTTTTACAGTTTTACTCACTAAGCCATCTCCTCATTCCGACGAAAGGGTTTTCTATTTCTTGTTTTTTTAAAGTTACTTCCTTATTTGAGACTCAAAAGTAATAAATATAGCATGTAGAAAATGTAAGCTGCTATGCAAAAATATTTTTTAGCACTTATATTGTCAGGTTGTTGACTTTATCAAAGCCTAAAGGCTCCTGTTTACCAGTTATAGGAAGAAGAGCATTCTGGGTAAGTGGAACAGATCACAGCCCCACGAAGTGCCTTCTTTTCACTCCTTATTCCTGATGCAAGCACCATTCATTTGTCTCTCATGAGATGGCTTCAGTCACTGACTTCACACCTCCCTGGTTCTGCTCTCACCTCCTTTGCCTCCCTCCATTCACTGCCAATGAGCCCTTGGGATTTCCTGGGACCCTCATTCTACTTCAGGCTACCCACCACCTCTCCACCCCGATTCCTCACCCCCACTCTGTGCAGAATCACCACTGCAGAGAGGCCTGCCTGGGAGCTCATACTCTTCCTCCCTCCTTCTCCCTCCCTCCCAGACCGTTTCCCTCTGGTGTATGTGTGTGTATGGTTGGTATTCATAAGAAAGCATTCAAGGTCCCTTGGAGCCAGAGTTACAGGTGGTTTTGAGCTGGGAGCTGCACTTGGGTCCTTTGCAAGACCATCAATTGTTCTTTACCATTAAGCTGTCTCTCTGGCCCTACTTTACGTTTCTTTAGGGTGTTGTAAACACAAAAACACCTTGTTTAAAAGAAGGTTGTGCAATCCAAATATATACGCTGGAACAAAGAGAACATCTTCAACAAATGGTGCTGGCACAACTGGATGCAAACACGAACAAGACCCAAGCCTTTCGCCCTGCACAAAACTTAAGTCAAAATGGATCAAAGA